GCACTTTATAAATGAAACATGGGCTGATGTGGCTAAAACTACGATTATATGTGTGGTGATTAGTGACCGTTAATCGATAATTATTCAGAAATCGTGAGATGCGGTCTGGTGTGATGTAGGTTTCCGAAAAACATTTTCTTTATCGTGTCAACGTTTCGATCTTTATTGAGCCCTGAAGATGATCTCAATAAAGATCGAAACGTTGGCACGATAAAGAAAATGTTTTTCTGAAACCTACATCACACCAGACCGCATCTCACGATTTCTGAATAACTTCGATTATAGTTTGATCGTACATAACGAAACACATTTACAATATTTGAGTTTCAAAGTAAAACCCGCCTTCGACAATATTGACTTATGTCTTTTAAAATGATCCATTACTGCCATTACTATAGCTCGATAGTTGTCACTTCTCACCTATTTATTTCTTAAGGAGTTTGATCATTCGAGTTCAGGATTGCGGGCCGTTCATAATCTCGTAACAGATTCATCTCGTTCCAATAGTCTTACATTTTTTCATCCGGATAAAATCGATTAATAACGGTTCAAAGAATTTCAGCTTCATTGAGCATAGTATTATGGAGTGCAAAAGGTCCATTTAACGAATTAGATAATAATAAGAAATAGGAAATTGTCATTACAGATTTTAATTGTGAAAATTTACTTGCACTTCGCATTGGAAAATTTTTTGTCTGAGTACGTTTAACCTTTAAATCAACCAGCTTTCACTTTTTTCTCTCTTCAAAAGGCATATTCCGTTCATTTTATAAATTTGTAGTTTCAGTGACTTTCAACCGACAAATTTATATAATAAAATAACTGTAGTATGGTACAATCTGCAAATTTTGAGAAAAGTGAACAAGGCTTGTTCGAGTCCGCACAGGAATACACCCATGTTCCTTTCACGTCAAAATAGTGTTATCAGCCATGAAAGAGGGTAATAATATCATTGGAACAATTGTCAGCACGAGGTCAGCCGACTCTAATTTATTACTGAGTACGGAACTGCATTGGCGTTTTACGAGGGTGGAGATTATTAGATAAAACAACTTCGTCGGTAGACAATTTTTAAGTAACTACCTTTATCACGCGATTTTGTCTAAATGTGTTTTTCTTCTTCGAACTAAACCTCATATCCTATTGACTACTTCAGAAATTAAAGCCCTATTTTTATCTCTATCGATAGTTGTTAAAGTGCAAAAGTAAACAAAGAACAACATGAGTCTGGAATTTTAAATTTGTTATCAAGATGGATACCATATTTTTACGTAACTAAAGACGTAAATGAAATCTTAATAATTATGTAATAGCTTCTTTTTTTTAATTGATTTATTTTGCGATATTTTTAATTATTTTGTAAGAGAGTGGAGGAAATTTATATGACAGTCAATCCGGAGTGAGTGATTAGATTATTATAATAGGTAAACACTTGTAACAACACAAATGTATTAAAAAAAGTAAGCAGTCAGATAGTCATGGTTGGTAAAAAATTAATGCAGGTTTTGAAAATTTGTTTTATTTTCGTAGGTGTGTCATGTAAACAAAGCTAAATCCTCAAATCTAATTTATGGATTATAATAAATACTTTTAACTGTACAACACATTTTAGTTTATGTGTGGTGTTTAGTGACCGTCAGCCAATATATATTTGGAGATCATGAGATGCGGTTTGGTATGGTTGGTAAGTTTAGAAAATAATTTTCTTTATCGTGCCAATGTTTCGATCTTTATTGACTTCATCTTCAGGGCCTGGGATTTATAAACATTGCTTAAATTTTGCAAATACATGTAGGGTGTGGGAAATAATTACCTAATTATCCGTGTCTATAAAATCCCGAAAGGATAATCAAGCCGAACCATTACAGTTTTTCCCAATGTCGACTCCTTTCACCTCAAAGAAGCCGACTCCTCATATAAAAATGTCTTTCTATCCCGACTTCCTTCCTCACCCCTTCACAATCCAACTTATATAAACATAAAACATCAATATCTCACTGGCACTCTCAATATGACACACAAGAATGACACATCTACACAGAAAGCAAACACTTTGAGTGAGTACAAATACTTTGATTGAATTTAAAATTTCTAGCATTCTATAAATTCAATTTTTTGCTTCTTCTTATTTTTTTCCACATCCTACATGTATTTGCAAAATTTAAACAATGTTTATAAATTCCAGGTCCTGAAGATGATCACAATAAAGATAAGAGAGACGTTGACACGATAAAGAAAATGTTTTTCTAAAACCTACGACCAGACCGCATATCGCGATTTCCAAATAGTCATTTTAGTTTATATTGAATTTTATAAGAGTGAGGACCTGTGAAATTAAATATGTCCAAACATTTTCGTCAAATCTATTTGTTCGAAGAAATACGACCCAAACTGCGCGTAACATCAATACTGTTTGGGGGAGGGAAGCATTAGCGAATGCGAGGGTGCAGCGATGGTTTCAGGGAAGTCGCGGTAGGCCTTCCATAGAGGACGACGACCAACTCAAAACGTTGATTGAAGAAAATTCACGTAAGAAAACCCGGGAAATTGCGGATGAGCTTCGTGCTTTCTGCTCAACCGTTGTTCGCCATGTTGAGAAAATTGGTAAAGTAAAGAAGCTAGACAAGTGGGTACCGCACGAACTAACCGAAGTCCAGAGAAATCGACCCTTGAAAATGTGCACGTCTCTCTTCTGTTGCGCCACCAAAATTTCTCGATCCAATCATCACGTGGGATATGAAATGGATTCTGTACGCATGGAGGCATACAGGCCCAGTGGTTGGACAAGGATGAAGCGCCCAAACTTCCCGTATCCAAAAGGTTATGGCGACTGTTTTGTGGTTTTGTGCTGGGGTTGTATATATATAATTGCTGAATTATGGTGAAACTATCACAGCAGAGAAATATTGCCAAGAAATTGGCAAAATGCACGTGAAACTGCTACGTCTTTGTCCACCATTGTTAAACCGTAAGGGGCCGATTCGTCTTCACGACTTAACGCCTCTTAACTCTTAACACCAAGCCACATGTCGTAATAACGATCCTGCGGAAACTTAAGGACTTAGGATATGAAACTTTCTTACGCATTTTGATCACTTATTGAGGTATAAAAGTTTTAGAGAACGCGGTGAAGCAGAAAACCCCTTCGAAGGCTACTGTGTGCCGAAATCAAAAAATTTTGTCAGCGGAATAAAAGCGCTTAATACACATTGAAAATATGTATAGATCGTGATGGAAAATATTTCGAATAAATTTTCTTTATTTTATAAAAATGATTAATAGTTTTGACTACTTTGTCAAAATATGCGTTATTTTTGCACCAGCCCGATAGTCCAAAATCAAAACTGACAGAAAGCGGAAAGAGGACAGTTGGTTAGTTTAAAATGATGTTAAATGTACCTATATTGGTATATGTACAAACTTTGAGTCAGTAGGTAGTACTCAGTGGTACTCCACAATATATTTTAAACTTTGGTTAATAGTCAGTTTTCATTAGATTTTATGTTGCAGTGATAATATTGTTAGCAGTACCAATATGTAGCAGTTTAATGATTTTTGATTTCAGACACTACGTAATGCAATAATAGTAAAATTTCATTAGTAACCAGTACTGGTGGCTTAGTAGCGTTTGATTACTATTGATACATACGGTTAGCAGTTTCGGTATGTAACTGATTTAATAAATTTTGATTTCCAGACAGTCAGCAGTATATAATATAATAATAGTATCGTTTGGTTAGTAGTCAGTTTAGGTAGGTATAATACTAGCCTGAGATTAGTATTGGTACATATGGCAAGTAGTTCCTATATGTAGCAGTTTTAATAATTTTTGATTTCCAGAGAGTAGGCAGTTCATAATAAAATAATAGCAACATTTGGTTATAGTCAGTACAGATTGGCATAATAGTAGCGTATGATGGTTTTAGTGGTTAGCAGTTAGAAGTAAAATCCGACCGATACAAGAAAGAAATTAGTTGTTTAGTTTTATATAATGTAAGTTGAGTTTGTTTAAGTGGCAGTAGCAATTGTTTGAGACGACTGGGCGTTTTCCGCTTTTATATTTAGGTAGACGTCCTACTAAAGTGTTTTATTATATTGCCTAGGATCCTCATGCAATCTTCTGTTGTACAAAGGTTCCGACATTTTGTTTGACCTTAGCAAACCCATTTGAACCGATTGTTTGGTGCCGCAGCAAGGATTCGTAGGTAGAAGTTACCCTTTGGCCAACTCCAACCCGTGGCCAAATCTTATATCACAACTTAGGAGCCTAGAATTATATTTTTTATTTAACTTCATGAGCGGGATTCGAGCCCACGACCTTCGGTGAGTTCGAATCCCGCTTATGACACTATCGTTTTCAGTTCAACCAAGACCTTAGATAAAAAGTATCATTAATTTATATTTATTTAGAAATCGTGAGATGCGGTCTGGTGTGATGTAGGTTTGAGAGAAACATTTTCTTTATCGTGCCAACGTTTCGATCTTTATTGAGATCATCTTCAGGGATCAAAGTGTTTGTCTTCTGTGTAATTGTGCCAATCTTGCGTGTCGTGTTGTGGGCACTCTGGGCCCTGAAGATGACTCAATAAAGATCGAAACGTTGGCACGATACTTGTTTCTCTCAAACCTACATCACACCAGACCGCATCTCACGATTTCTAAATGAATATCGATTAACGGTCACTGTTCACCACACATTAATTTATATAATTAATATGTCAATTATGACCACTACATGCACATATGGAATAAAAATATAGTTGGTGTTTGGTTTTAGAAATATATTACTCTCATTTAACAACCTTATTTTGATAAGGATAATTGTTCTTATGAATGGTTATATTGTAGTTGAGGGTACAAAATTGATTGATAAAATCGTATTAATTCTTGAAGAATCCTATCGCGATCAATGCCCCTTATCCATAACGCGCAGGGATATTTTTCCCCTCTTAACCGACGGTTGGTACCGGTCTGATTGTACGTTTCTCCCACTCGTTCTTTCGAGGCTCAGTGACCGTTAGTGAGCCCGAGTACCCGTATCGCCGACGAACGAGTGCCCCCTGCTAATACGAAATTGTTATGACGGCGTACCTGTTCGTGAAGTGACTCGTGTGCGTTTCCAGTTCCTCGCCCTCCGAGATGGTACATCGACGCCAAAACGTTTGACACCCGTAATAATTTCATATTCATTTTTATCTATTCGAGAAGCATACATGGCTCATATTCGTTTAGGATGTCTAGGGATAGAAAATTCGATAAGAAGCTCGTGATCACGTATTGGAATTTGGATCACTTGATACCTAGGCATACAGTGTCAACCACAACAAAAATAAATACTATACTAGGATTCTTATTTTTTTATTGTTTTCTACTCCATCTTAATTTGCTCCAAACAAATCGAATTAATTAAAGCCTGAATAAAAAATATTCAGGGCTAAACTGTAAGTGTTATCTTAAATATTTGTTTGGGTACCTTAAGCTTTCGAAACGACCTATTTGTTCATACATTTATAATTCGGTAAATGGAGTGTTTATATAATATTATTTTATAGTAATGGAAATAAGTGTGGTAAGACGTTTATTTTGGAAGAAAACTCAATTGTTTGAACCGTTGACACGGTTTTTTCATGTCCGTCACGAACCGTTGACCTAAGAAATTAATGTGCACGTGAAGAACAATAAAAGATTAAAGCTTTTAAAGCAATCTTGAAGAAACAACATAAGTGGACACATGTAATGCCTCATAGTACTCATTGTTAATTGATATTTTTACACAAACACACACACGAAAATAACCACGAATCGTGAATGGAATAAATAATTATCATGTTATTCAAGATCAATAAAAATTTGATGGTTTAACATTGCAGTCTTGGTAATAGTACAAATAACATTGTTTGTAGTCATTGACTACACGAGATCAATAATAATCTTATAACTTTATAAACTTTATAATACAACACAATTTTATAAACTGCATTAAGTTTTTTAGTACCATAGTCTACAAAGTACTCGTTCTTCGGAGTTTCCTGAATTTTTCATCAGGTTTTTCAATAATAGGTTACAAAATGGATGAATTCAATTGACTTATAGTCGTAGATTTCATTGACTTCATAAGATCGATACAAACTTTAAGTACTGCATTAAGTTTATAGGACAAGCTACATATTATTCAGAAATCGTGAGATGCGGTCTGGTCTGATGTAGGTTTCAGACAAACATTTTCTTTATCGTGCCAACGTTTCGATCTTTATTGAGATCATCTTCAGGGCTCAAAATGTTTATCTTCTGTGTAATTGTGCCATTCTTGCGTGTCGTGTTGAGAATGGCCATAGGCTACAAAGTACTCGTCCTTCGGAGTTTCCTGAGTTCTTTCATCACGTTTTACGATAATAGGTTCATAAATGGATGAGTTAAATTTAACATTATAATCATTGATTTCTTTGACTTAATGAAATCAATACTAACTTTAATTATTGCATTAAGTTTATCGGACAATAGGCTACAAAGTACTCGTCCTTCGGACGTTCCTGAGTTCTTTCATAACACTAAATTTTTAATTATTTTATCAGCTTCTACTTAATTATATAAATACTCAATTAATTATACACAATTTTTTCCAAATGAAAAATTTGTGTCACAGGCGGGATTCGAACCCACGACTTTCGGCCAAATACGCCGCTGCTCTACCACATGAGCTACCGTGACTTCGATCGCCCATGCCACAAACTTCTCATTTCGACTCGCGGATTTTATTCCAATTGTAAGCAAATCGCGGCTTCATATAAAAACAACTTTTTATTAACGATTGTACTACGTTAGCGGGACTGTGTACGATTCACAGGTGTGATTCTAGATTAATACTAAATTTCTAATTATTTTATCAGCTTCTACTTAATTGAGTATTCTTTCATAACATTTTCCAATAATAAGCTCAAAAATGGATTAATTGAATTTAACATTGTAATCCTAGTTTTATTTGACTTAATGAAATCAATACAAACTTTAATTATTGCATTAAGTTTGTAGCACAATAGGCTACAAAGCACCCGTCCTTCGGAGTTCGCTGAGTTTTTCATCACGTTTTCCGAAGTTATTCATCACGAATAATAAGTTCAAAAATGGATGAATTGAAATTAGACTTATAGTCTTAGATTTCATAGACTTCCTGAGCTCAATACAAACTTTATAAATTGCTTAAATTCACTATTTTTCGTGGTCTGCTTGACCAATTAATATCATTCAATTAATTTATAAATTGCATTAAGTTTATAGGACAAAAGGCTACAAAGTACTCGCCCTTAGGAGTTTCCTGCGTTTTTTCCCTTTACGATTATTTCCTAATTTAACTAAATAATTAATTTAATGCTTGTACGTTTAAAGTTTAGCCCTGATGATTGTGATATTGTAGAAAACTGTGCAGTAACAAGATTTCTTCCTATTATGCCATCCTTTGAACCTATTATCTGAGCAAATCCACAAAAGAAAATAATAAACAATATAGTTAGAATAGAACAAGAAATTACAAATTTTGTAAACATCTATTTTTAACCGATTACTTCAATCGGAATAGATTTTTTTTAAATGCTATTTTTATAAATCCTGCCATTTCAAATTGGCTGTCTTTGTTAATTGTGCAGTAAATTTAATAGTAAACGTTAGAATTTTTTCTTCATGTGTGAATAATTTAACCTGACAATGTTATAATGACAATCACAGTCGTACTAGACGGCTTGGAGCCTACACTATTTTGAGTGATAGAAGCAAGATCAGGCGGACCCAAGCCGTCACCGCAATTGACCGGGAGATTTGATTTTTTTTTAAATTTAAGGTTTTTTAATGTATGTATTGTCGCTTTTCTAACGACCGTTTATTAATGTAGACGGGTTAAGAAAACTATGTTTTATTGGTTAATGTTTTGTTTTGAAGGGTCGTATAGATAAAGGTCCATTAGAGAGGCTATTGCCGTCTATTTTAAGATAAATTTAATAGAAATGGATTCCTCCTAATAACCCAGATACGAAAACGTACTTTAATATACTCGGTTAATTTCGGAATATTAACAAAATGGTCTAAAACGACGTTTCGTATTGTTTTATTTTTTTGCAAAGTATGGTTGAATTGAAGAGTAAAAGCACTTTATCCGCGCCAGTCTTGCCGTCGCCAATCGGACCGGACGGGGAATTACTGTCACGAGCGGGACTCGAACTCACGAACTCCGGATCAGTACCCCGACGTTTCAATTGACTACGGCTTCGCTAATTTTTTAACTCAATCATACTTTGTATTAAAAAACAGATCTAAGAAAGTAATTACTTTCATAAATAGATCCAACTAAAAACATAATGTTTTAATTAGTTTAGAATTGTATTTAAACAAATGAGGAATCTGTATGTTGTATGTTTCCCATGATTGTGGTCTATCTGTGTTGGTCAGGCGCGTTTCACCTTCTCGCCATCTTCAGTAGAGATTCTATGTATTATTCTGTCCAAATTAGGCAAAATAAAACACTGATAAACGACTAAAGATGGGGAAATTCGGAAAAGGCGTCTGGATTAACAAAACATCGAGGATAGACGGACCAGCATGATAGTAGACGACCAAACTTCATGTTCATTTCCCTAACTTGCATTTTCTCGTATGTTTGTCCTTTTGCAACTTTTGCATTATTCACTCATAAAACTATACGTGAGGTAGAGCAGAGAGGCTGAAAATGTCATAGAAATCATGTGTAAAATTCCAGTACATGGGGAAGAAGTGGATCAGGATGATCGGAAAGGACCGAACATCAAGGTTCATAACCTGCAGACATCGAGAGGAAATCTCTCAGTATGGCGAATTTCTAAGAAGTTCAGAAAGCAGTAGAAAGAGTAAATAAGACTGAACCAATAATTTTGTTATATTGACAATTGATGATCAATGATAGACCAGACTTTGGAATTGTTTCATTATTACAAAGTATTTTATGTTGAGAAACCACAAAAAGGATCTTTCTTCAGAATCACCATATATTCATTTCAAGGTTTCGTTTTTCCAAAAAATACGGTTCAAACGATTCTTACGTCTTTCTCCTCCCGTCATCACGTAGAGGCAGGAGTCACGTCCTGCCCTTCGTCATAACAGAGAAAAGGATCGTGATCCTTTTAAAGGGACCACACATTTCTCTCCAACTGTATAAAAAAAGCCCAAAAGAGGGCGGAAACGGAAGGCGGAGGTAGGCACAATGATGTCCCCATTTTCGGACCACCCTCCGTACGCGAACATGAGTGCTAATGAATCACCTCTCATTTCCTCCACCCTCATATTTTGCCATAAACGGTTACCCGTGTTAATTGCGCACTAACAGGGAAACTGGCTTAAGGGTTAAGGGTCAATTGGTGTACTTTCTTGTTTCTGATGTACGACTTTTTTTTTACTCCCTCTTCTTAAGGGATCTTAATCGCAAGGGATACAGGAAAGTACTCCTGGGAGGTTTTATTCATATCTAACGCTGTGGGCTTGTTAATGTTAATGTTGTTGATGTTTATAGAATCATATAACCATTATGCTATTATTAAGTGAAGAAGTTCTATCTACACGGTTGTTGGTTGAAAAAATGCAACATAAAGTAAATTCACGTTTCAAGATTAAATACATCAGTGGTTAAATGATTAATTGTTTCAATATAATAGCGTGTAACATTATGAACCACAGTATATGGAATATAGAAATTCTATTTTGTACTTAACATTAAAAAAATACTTTCCTAGAAAAGCGGAAATATAATGGAAGTCAGTGAACAACCGTTTCCTTATCTGGAATATATTTGTCAATGAGTCATTGTCGGCATTTCTTTTTGACTCGCACATCAAACCGTTTCGAATTGTTCAGTGTTTCAAAAATATATGTATACATAAATAAGACCATGGTGTGAGCACGGGGCACAGAAAGTAAATAGGAAGTTGTATAAATAGACTTATTTTCTTCTATTAACTTGCACCACGATCTGCTCCAATCACCCTAGTCCGCCTATTCGCTGTTTTTTGCTAGCACAATGTGTTAAACCTTTGAATTCTAGGTTGTGTTAAACTGTGCGAAATCGTTCTGAGAGGGAAGACGGTCTTCAATTCCTGTTCTTCAGAACTGACTTAACCGTCTTCTTCAACATACTTAGCCGTAAAAAATTTTCTTT